TACACTAAAGACTATGCAATGATTATTCTTGATTATTCAATTTCTGTATGTCTTGCTTCTGTAAAATATATGTAAAAGTAAAGCACTGTTAATTTTTTTATAGGCCTATATTGTATTTTCTCTACAGTTTATTTGCATCTTTGTTTTTATTTTTAATAGGCTAACAAAGGTAAAATAACAAAAAGAGCTTTATTGTGATTATTACTATGGTAATTATTATTAATTAAATAATTGGAGGAGAAGATGCATTGTGATGCATCATAATCAATCAAATCAAATCGTGAAGCAACTGAAGATTCACACTTGCGATTTGGCCAAAAGGGCTCAACAGTGGTTCAAATTTTGATTTGCCCTGCCACAAAAAAATTTGTTTTATCATTGTTTTTTCAATACCAAATTTATAGATAGGCCTACCTGTTAAATTTTACAATTCTCGATTCCAATTGAAGACAAGTCAGTAAATAAGAACAAATTAACCAATTATAAACAATAGCACAAATCGCTAGCCTAAATAAATGAATAAATAGAACAAAGATCAAATTTAAACAATGCGTTAGGTTTGTTGGTATTCAGGTACAGAAATTGAATAATCAAATGTAAAATAACATTGCATACTTTTTACTTGTGTAATTCAGGGTTGCGCGCTGTTTGAGACGCGGCTATGTGTGCTCAGAACACACTGAATGGAGCTCTCTCCCGCGTCTGCATGAATGCTTTAAACCCTCTTGAATGTTAAAATATCATGACAAATCCGTCATCTGTCCCAAGCGTCTTTCACGATGGCCCCGGGCCATGTTTTGTAAATGTGTACATTTACCTTTAATAATTTACCTTCCTCTGTTCTTTAATGTTAGTTCATAGTGCATTTAACCAACATTAACACATGCAATTTAATGCTAAACATTTTTATATAGATATCTGTGTAAAATATATCCGGCTATGTGCATGTGTATTTCATGCAGTGATATTTGTGTCTATTTCATATGACAGACCTGTTTAATCTTTTGTTAATGACATTTATAGCTGCAAAATAAAAGGCTGACAACTTGAGCTTTGATTATAAAGACTGAGTGAATGTAAGCTGTAGTTCTCGTTGATGAAGGGCCCCTCAAGAGGTAAAGCCCAGGGGCCCCTTACAGTCTTAATGCGGCCCTAGTTGTATGACTGTATCGGTTTAATTTACTCCAAATATATGAACTTAACGGTTTTAAATACTTTATATTTTACGTGTTCGTTTATGTCCAATATTTAGTGTTAAACGTTTTAAATACAATTCTTGAATTCAGTTTAAACGAATTCGTTAAAAAAAAAAAGTTTTGATTTGTGCTTATTATTTTTTTAAATGCGTTATTAAATTTTTTATTTACACTTATTATTTTTTGATCCGTGACCATTGTTTGCTATTCTGAAAACTTTACTTTCATTTTTATATTTTGTGCAATATAATTTTGCGTTTTTAAATTTTGGTTTCACGCTTGTTGTTTTTTTATCCGTGACTGCAATACATTTGGCAGGAAAATGATCCCATATTTAAAATGCATATTTTCAGCAAGATAGACATGATTATCAAAATCAAACACATGTTTTTTGGCAGAGTATCTCAGGTACCAGCTGTAAAGGCACAGCCCTATTTTGAAAAAGGGGGCAGAGAGGAGCAGCTCATTTGCATTTAAAGAGACATGCACGAAAACAGCGTGTTTCTGATCCCATTTAAAATAGGCATTTTCAAAATGATATAATAAATGATCTGTGGGGTATTTTGAGCTGAAACACAGACATATTCTGGGGACACCTGAGACTTATACTATATTACATATTGTAAAAAGGGGCATAATAGGTCTCCTTTAACTGAATACACACATAGTATGGGTAGACTCAGAGAACATCAGACATTGACACATACATGAGTCAGTATTGTCAAAAGTTCCCATCACATGGCTTTTTGTCACTCGTCACCACACGGTTATATGTAGAGATGACCCAGATAGCTGGAGTCTGACATGATGAATGCGTCTCCACTGAGTTCTTCCAGCCTGACACAGGGTTGCCATGGTGACACAAGAGGAACTTGCTGTTTTACAGCAGAGAGTTCCAGGACATGATCAGAAATATCCCATCATGCTCTAAAGCACTCTAAGGTTAATGTATTTACATGCACATATCGCAACCAGCTCACTTTCATTTGCGCTTAACGTCATCTCTGATGTCACAGAGGCTCTAGATGTAAACTCAATTGAGTATACAACAAATAAAGAAACAAAAACAAACAAACAAACAATGGGCGGGGTTTCATAACTAACCCTGCCTGAGATTGTTTACAAAGGCATGAAAATGTAAACAAACAAAATGACAGCGTAAACAAATACAGAGCAACAGAGTGTGTGAGCAGAGGAAGTAAAAATACAAATGATGTCCATTCTTTAAAGCTGATTGTGAATTTCTTTAGCGTAATCTCACATACCAAGCAATGAAACACACACACACACACACACTCATTTCACAATTCACACACATACACACTTATATACCAGCTCTGGCAGCTGTAGTCTTAATTATTCCTGTGATCTGTCTGCAAAGAAACTGATCTCACAGAAACCGAGCTCTACCAGAGAAAGTTAATAATTCAGTCTGATTGACATCCTCTTCTCACATCTCTGATCATCTTCATGCATCAATTAATAAGCTCGACACACTCACGCACACTAAAGCACACAGCAGGAGCTGTCTCATCAGAGGGAACACATGCAGAGCTGAGAAGGCGAGAGATAATAGAGGTGATAAAAATGCTGTCATGCTGAAAGAGCGTCTGTCAAACCTTACAGAGCTGACATTACCGTGTATCATTTTAGCTGAGCAAATCCTCCCATTCTGCCACACTTGATGACATAACTAATCACTCTGTAATCTCTTTATGTTCTGCATCATTATTAAGTTATGACTGTATATTCTGCATATGTAGGTGCTGATGGGATGAGTTTGCATATCCTACCATCTTCCTCCACCTCTTTCTTTCGCTCACTCTTTTATCAGTCCATCATGTTCCGTTTGCTCTTTGAAACGGTTCGATGGAATGGATAGAAACCAGATTAAAAATAGATGGTGACTAATCAGCAGAAGAACCAGGATAGAGTCCCACCTCCGATTTCTAAGGGTTTGAGAGAGTCACAGACACACACAAACACACTTGTGTTTACCTAGCAAACATGCTCTACTGAAAACATACATTCTACTGTTGGGCCGAAGGCAGGGAAACACCCTGGAAGGATGGTAAATCTAACACAGTGTCCTAACCAGACGTGATGTGACAAGCAATTTGTCTGTCCACACCAGACATCAACCAGACCAAAATCAATCACACATCCAAGCCAATTAAAAGAGCGCATGGGCAGACTCCCTCTGCAAGCACACTACTATCTCACACTCTCAACAAAATGTAACAAAATAATAAATGATATACCAACTTAAAATCTAACACCTACCCCTTAAGCATATAGCTTATAGCAAACTTATCCACATACACACACAATCTTGTCAGAACGCTCCTCTTCTCTCAGAATCAGAGAATATGTTTATATGCACAGTTATAATCGAGCTACAGCAGGTTTTGCATAGTAGAGCTACAGCCCAACACTTAATCGAATATTTGAATGATTAAATACACATTAAGCATCACCTCTGTCTTTTGGAGCAAGCGTACAACATAGAGGTCAACTGTAGTGTGATTAACGAAGCCAAGCTACAATCACATTATCTGGGTCTGTTAGTGCAGCTTCACAAAAACCATGCTGGTACGATTTCAGTTGAATTAAAGATGAAAAATAAACTAAGAAAGACAACAATGAAAAAATATTTAATTATTAACAAATAAATAATACATTCATTTTAGTCCATTATTTCCAAATTAGTTTTTCCACATCATGCCCAGTGTTGTCCTTCAAACAATGTGTAATTTTAAGGAAATGAAAACAAGTGGATGTTACTATAAAGGCTATGTGCAATTAAATGTGCAAAGGATTGTTAAAGTAGAAGTTAAAATCTCTAAGCTAAAAAAAATGATACTTCAGAAAAACAAAAGCATATACTTACATGTAATGGGGTACTGGTAGGAGGTAGGAGGAACACACATGCACTCATCTGAAAATATAACATTTATACTCAATAGTCCTTTACTGTTACTGCTCTCAAAAAAAAAATACAATTACTTTTGTTACATGTAGAAATTTAAACTTACATTTAAAGTCAAACAGTATGTTACAAAAACGATCAATTTAGTCAGAATTATTGCATTCCTTATTCTGTTGTGTTCTGACTGTTTGACGTGAATGTCCGAGCCAGCACTCTTTCACTGAGGTCCGTGGAGTTTATTGATAGAATGAGCCTTTATGTAAAATGGAAAGATTCACGTGACTTTCTAAAATTTACAGATAAGGATAAAACTGTTAAAAGGAAGTTATGCGCTGAGGAAACACATAACAGGGTAGGCCAAGTTAAACTATGTTTTTGTTTAAAGAGCTAAATATGGTGCATTCTCATGTTTAGTACAATTTCAGTCATGCATTTTCCCAAAGCGGCATTTTGTCCATAGACAGAGAAAAAAAAGTGACGTGACTGATGGATGTTTTCAGTCCAGTTCAGTGTTCACAAACACAAACAAACAATAATCAAAGCTGGTTATGTCAATTATTATTGATTAGTTGCTACAGCCAGAAAAAAAAATTGAGCCCAGCCTGAACACAACACAAAGTGTCAGTGAGCAAACACACAGTCACAGTCTGGCTAGGTATCATGCACAGTGTTACAGACACAATGTGTTGTCACTGCAAACACACAGCACAAGGCTCAGGTCTCAGATGGAAACATTGAATGGAAACTTGAGCACACGCACTCTCCGCAAGTTCTTATGAATACGCAATCTTTCTTTACATCTACCCATAGACAAAAAAAAACAAGTGCACTTGGACGAGCTCATAACACACTCGTCAGGTGCGTGTTCAACTCACCTCCTTCCAAACAGCCGTAACCCAGTAAAAGTCCTGTTGCTATGCCGGCGACCCACTGCGACTCTCTCCCCCTCAGGCTGTGGGTTGGATGGGAGGTCAGAGTTGGATGAAGAAGCGGACGTGGAGGCCAGAGAGGTTGTGACTTCTTCCCTGTCCTGTGAACCTGCTCCTAGCTCCTGCTCCATCAGGAGCCTTGGGCTGTCAATCAAACAATGGTAACTAATCCCAAACTCACAGAGTCAGAGAGTCCTCATGCTGAGAAAAACTAGAAGTGAAGGGTCGCACCATCCTGCTCTCCGCCTCTCGGAAAGAGAGGGAGGACAACGCCAACAGTGCTCAGTCCTCCAGATCCTTGCAGACTTCCACGTGTGATCTGCTTCCCATTCCGCCTTCAAGACACTTAATCCTGTAAGCAAACCCCCACATTCCTCTCCCCCTCCTCTCTTTCTTTCTTTCCTTCCTCCCTCTCTCTCTCTCTCTCTCTCTCAGGAAGTTCTTACAGTCCCAGTCTAAGCAGAGTCATAAAGCAAAGAGAGTTCCTCCAGTCCTCTCTTCATGTCTTTCTCTCTCTTAAAGCGCTCATCTTATGTTTTCCTCTCACGGTGGCTGCCGCTTGCACTCACACACGCGTCTATGCAGGCGCATACACATACGCTCTAGCTGCCGGTTGCACTCACAGACATTGCACCACACCAGGAAGTGTCAAACTCAGAAGAGACTCATTCGTAGGACCCCAAATGTAGCAGCCCCTCCAGGTGCCTGATTGTTTTTGATCTTACTTCTTTGCATCTATCTCACCATCAATTTGTCTTTCTCTCTCCGATAGAAGAAAATGAGATATAACTCTGACAATGGAACAAAGCAGCTCACAGTTTGCTGATCAGATCAGTAGTGCATCTAGTTATGGTCACAAATATCACTTACAGACAAATGGTTACTTTGGAAATCTCTATACAGAACTGGTCAAAGATAAAAGGTCTATAACTGAGGTCACAGAAACATATATAACGCAAAATGTAAAACAACACACACACACACACAGACAGAACAATACGTTTATGGCTGGGCGAGCGCACTTCTAACAGGACAGCAGGTAGGAGGAAGATCTTATAGTAGTCAATAAATGCAGTTTGACATTGAGAAAAGAAAGAAAGCAAAAGGCATGAGGGAAAAAGATGGAAAGAGAGATAGCCTCAGGTTCTCTGCTGTTATTCTGTGTGTTAGCAGGCATGTGTGTATGTCTCTTAACATTTGGTAAAGGTTTTTCTTTTATATCTTTTACAGTTACATAGAGATACCAACCCCCAACACAGTACACATACTGCAGACAAGGGCTATTGAGTTAACTAACCAATTTTGGAAAGAAAGAAAAAAGATACTAAAAATAAACTTTAAAAGAAAATAAAGTACAGATGTAAAATGTAAAAGAAAACGTTACTTCAGCAAATCGCCAAGGCAACATTTCCTATAATAGCTATAATAGTATCTCAGCGATACTAAAATAACACTGTGGACAGAACCACAAGAACCAGAAGGGAAGTATTCTCATTAGGTCATATTGTGTGTGTGACTGTGTACTGTAACATGACAACAGAATAAGAAAGCCAGCAGAAAGATTCCTCTCCACTACCAACTGTTCACACTCACTACAGACTTCCTGTGAAGGAAGGAAATGATGTCACAAAAATGGGAGTCGTACACAATTACGGTTGGACCACAAACCAGATATTGTTTCCTGCTATTCTTCTCTTAGCAATACGTGTGTGTGCTTGTGTAAGAGAGAGCAAGCTACATATAGAAGGAAGAGGGAGAGAGGAGGTGAAAATAGGACAGCTGAAATGATGGGTAGGAAATATATATCTGTGTAGGAGTGACAGATCCACTGTAACCTGGATTCAGCCTGATCTAATATACCACCAGAAACAGCAGCAGGGAGACATTTCCACCAGAAATCAATCCATCCATATTCATTTTCACTGTAGCACCTCAGCAGGACACATTCTAGTAAAGCACCTTAATTCAAATATCAAATTAACCCTTTTTATGGGCTTGAGTCTAAAACAGATTGTAAAGAAATGATAATTTTGTGCATCTTTAGACAGGATCTCCACCTTGTGGTTACATTGAGTAACTGCATGCCTGCAGGGATTTTACCACTGTGGTTACAGTCCTTAAAAACCACTGATTTATTTACTCAAGTAAAGTTTGTGGTATCAGATTAGATTACATATTATATCATCTATATCATTAATAGATTATATAATATGATATTTATAACAAAGCGAAAGTGACTCTGAACTAAGCACAGATTATGGATGTTTCTAAAAAAAAAAATCAGACACACTGTTCCCACAATAATTACAACAACTTGAACTATTATTAAACTCTGTAATCCCCTTACTCACAAACATAGCAATCTTTCACAACCCCACATTGCTATCTTTCTCTCTCTCTGTCTCTCTCTCTCTCACACACACAGACACACACACACGTGATGAGATTCAAAGATAAGAGCTGGTGGTCACAGATGGTTTCCATATGCAGGTTTGGTGGTTAACTACATCTGGCATAAATACATTCAAGAACACAGAACAACTAGACAGTGAAACTAAAATTCAACCAGCCTATAAACACAAGCCAGACACTATATATACAGTAAATGCACACCAGAATGTCAGTTATTTCGAGAACACAGACGGAGATGCAAAAGTGGCATTCGCATTTACATGCACTTTATTAGCAGCAGAGCATGGCATTAGCATCAGCAAGGTCAGGAGTTCGACTCCCTAGGAATGCATGATTGATAAAATGCAATTCAATGCAATGTAAGTTGTATTGGATGAAAGCAGAAATGTAACTATTCTTAACCTGCATTTACATAATGGGTCAGAATGCTGCTTTCTGCATGCATTCACTGAATTGGCTCATATTTAGTAAACATTCGCTTGTGATGACTGACAGCACAGCGGATGCATACAGACACAATATTAATAGCAAGCTGCACACCCTTAACTTGTTAAATTTATAAAATACAAGCGCTGTTCTCTTATAAGTCAAAATAAATGTGACAGATTAGTTTGAAAGTTACTGTATGCCTGCTAGAACATGTACACAAGTTCACACGCTAATGCTACAAGACCACACAAAAGCTGAATCAGAAATCATATAGCTACTGTCTAGTAGGTCCTAACATCTGTTTACAAAAAGGTATTTTCTATAGTATGAACATGAGTAGCATAAAATAAATTTGGATATACACTACCATTCAAAAGTATTTGAACTGTAAGATTTTTAATGTTTTTAAAGAAGTCTCTTCTGCTCAACAAGTCTGCATTCATTTGATCCAAAATACAGCAAAAACAGTAACATTTTGAAATTCTCTAATTCTCTAAAAAACATTAAAAATCTTACTGTTCAAAAACTTTTGAATGGTACTGTGTCACTGTCACATGACCTACCAGCACAAGTTGCATTGCTACACTGCCATTCCCAACTCCTGTCCTTTGGCTTCAAAGGATAGTAGAGTGTCCACGGAATACACATTCCAGAATTCTCATAGTAATAGGTCATCCAGGCCTAATGTTTTTTTAAATGCTATGAATTGGGGCATACTACTCTTTTGGCATACTATCCAATATGACATATTCTGATGCAGCGAAAGTGTTCTTATTGTTAGATCTTGCATTTGGCTTCAGATTTAAATGTTGCAATGTCTTCATAGTGCTGACCAGAGATCAGAGCGTCATTCTTACAGCTAAATGAACTGACAAGTAGCTTGCGCCATCAAACGGTAAGCATATGGAGGTATAAGCAAGTGTAGTTCAGTCTTACCTGTGGTAAGGTTGAGGCGGAGGGGTGGGGGGCAAGACCCATTTCCCCCTGTGTGCCCACATTTCTCTGTCTCTTTCAGGGCTGCCAGATTGACTCTAGTTACTGTCATGCACACAGCTACTGTAGACAGCAACTGACCCTTGCAGCATGTGCCTCTCTGAGCTAAATCTTTCTTCCCCAACACCCCCTACTTCCTGTTGTGACAGTTCCTTATGTGAGTGTATGTTTGTGTTTGTATTGTGTGTGTGTGTGTGTGTGTGTGTGTGTATGTAAGAGAGAGAGAGAGAGAGAGAGAGAGAGAGACAGAGAAACAGAGATGGGTCAGGGGTAAAACTTAATTCTTGTAAAAGAAACCGCCTCAAATAGAATATGAGCAACAGACTGCAGAAATACATACACACACACACTGAGAACAGGCTCCTGTAGGAAACTACTTTTAGTACATTTAAAGGAGAGCCCCAAACAAACACACACACACACGCATGCACACTGGCAGGCAGCTTTCCCTGCTTCTTACAGAGGAAAGTGACTGATGATCTTGAACTTTTATATTTTTGTGCATGAGATTGAGAACACAAGCTGCTATAATAAACAAAAATGAAGAACAGACATTGTACAACTGTACTTCCTTTGTCACACTCATCTCACTTTTAACCACATGTAAACACTCACCCACAGATGCATATCTTAAGATATTTTATAAAGCAAAGGCTGTTGTCCATTTCCACTATCTGTCTTTCTATTAGAGACATGCATTTTGCTCATTCTGACAACTCAAAAGATGAATCCACCAATATCAAAATATTTTGTTTTATCATCATCTCAAAAATCTCAGTGTACAGTGATGAATCTGGTTACTCTAAAGCACTGGTTCTCAGTTCCAGTCCTGGGGACCCCACATTTTGCATGTCTCCTTTATTTAACACACCTGATTCAGATCATCATCCATGAATTGAACTGAGTGTGTCAGATAAGAGAGACATACAAAATGTGCAGAGCAAGAGGTCCCCAGGACTGGAATTCAAATCCACTGCTCTAAAGTAAAAATATTACCGTCAAAAAAATCACAAAATGAAAAAAATTGTTTGTAGTCCTGGAATTGGATTAGTGTGAAATCAGTTACACAACTGAAGCATTTTCATAAGTCATCATTGATTTTCACTTTCTATCCTCTCATTGTCTCTCTGCAGAACACTGGGTTTACAGATTGCTACCTTAGCGAAAGCAAGAAGGCAGATTTTTGCATCTAGTACTGACCAAACATAATTTACATAATGACGAACATAATTTAACTCCAAATAATTACTTTAAGACATAATAGGACAGGGCAGGAGAGGTAAAGAACATGTAAGATGCTGTCATCTCTCCTCTCTCCACTAGGGGGGGAATGTACTCTTCTTCACTGATGGCTCTGTAATCTGTTTAGCTATAGTGACGTGACATGTGACATGTGGCCAAGTATGGTGACCCATACTTGGAATTAGTGCTCTGCATTTAACCCATCCAAAGTGCACACACACAGCAGTGAACACACACACCGTGAACACACACCCAGAGCAGTGGGCAGCCATTTATGCTGCGGCGCCCGGGGAGCAGTTGGGGGTTCGGTGCCTTGCTCAAGGGCACCTCAGTCGTGGTATTGAAGGTGGGAGAGAGCGCTGTACATTCACTCCCCCCACCTACAATCCCTGCCGGTACGAGACTCGAACCCGCAACCTTTGGGTTACGAGTCCGACTCTCTAACCATTAGGCCACGACTTCCCCAAACTGCCAAAATACCCTTTCTATCTCTCCATTCTGTTGTTCCAAACAAAGTACTTTCTTTCTTCCACTGGAAAAAAAAAAAGATGTTTTGTGGTATTG